TCAAAGCCAAGAACCGTGCTTTCTTAAAGTTATTTATATTGAAAAAAGATTTGAAAACGTTTGATAAACTAGGGATCTTAACGCGGAAAGGTAATGCCTTTGCTTAAATGAGAGTTGACTTCATTTTCTGACTTCTAGTTTTATCTTAATCTCAGGCTTTGTCTCATTTTGAGGGCTCTTGACACACCCCGACCTAGAAAGGTCGAAGCATGCTAGCCGTCACCGTGAGGTGACGTAACCATAAGGGTGAGTGATGCACAAAGTGAATAAAATTAAAACTAATTAGAACTAAACAGTGAAAGAGTGCGCAATTCGTGGGTTGAACCCACTACAATTATTTAGAGCATAATAGACAGTGAGACTACGAAAGAGTAGTCAAAGGAACCAAAGTACACTTATTACATAATAGTAATAAGTTCGTACGTCTAAACAGAAGGAAATGTCAGAACTGCCGTGATTCCTTGAGTGCCACAGAGAGTATAGCTATCTAGGTCCTGGAGGGGCGAAAAACAAAGTTGAGTGGGTTAGCAAAACAATGCTTATAAGAAAACCTTTATCTTTGAATATACTAATCCCTCGCCGTAAAACAAGTATAGTTTCCTCAAAACATACTACGTAAGTATGAGATCCAATATATCAGCCATATAATCAGAAATATGCCAAGTAAATGATGTATCATATGCCACAGTAGTAATGATGTGATAATCAAGTATAACTAAGTGCTCATCCATCTAAGCTGACACACAAGTTCGAACAGATGGTTTCTGACACGAATAGGATTGGGTGTAATCAATATGCTCTAGTACTACAATCACGTGAAGACTGGTGCAAAAGCACATCACATACAAGTTGGATCGCCTAATGCAATCTACCCAACAAGACTGGCACCTAAACTTGGATCCAAGGTGAGCGAACGGTGCGGATGTGAATATACACGTGAAGGACTGGCCCTGGCCCTAGAGCGAGTACTAACACCGGGTGCAGCAAGATGAGCATGTACACAAGTATGTATGAATGCCATGACAGTAATATCACAACCATATAGCAGCATTTATCACAATTTATAACACAATAATGATACTAGGCAAGTTAGGCGTAAAAGTGGAGTAAATACGCATTTATGGAAACTATATATATATATAGGTATAAACAACTGCCCACTCACAAGTATGTCGCTGGGCCGTAGCCCCCAAGCCTAGCCTAGCCTCGAAAGTCCTCGAAATAAGTTTCCCTTATATGTGAAATAACTAAATAACATTAATTAAAGCACATAACGGAAACCTAAATAAAACCCCCATACTTTGCTCAAACCTAGGGTATAAATATATGAAATCGATCTACTCGACGACACGAACACACACGTGTCAACCACACGCCGGTCGGAGGCCGGACGTGCCCCCACGCGCCACCTAAAGGTCTGTCCACGCACGCCCACGCGCCCCCGCGAGTACACTGTACTCGCCTTCTTCGCGAAAATCTGCAGTTTTGCAAATTTTTTGCCCAACTTCCAGAACCCATAATGAGCTCGATTGTCAACCAAATTCACTTCTACAAAGCCAAATTAAAGCTAGGAATGTGATCTACCAATCCCAATTTACAGAAAGTTCGAATATGGTCTGAGTTAAACGGAAATTTGGCTTGAAAGTGGCCAAACGACCACGGTTACAAATTTTTCAGAAACTGAAATTTTCTTCCTAACTTCCAGAGTTGATTTCTAAATCGTAGCCATTTTGAAGTTAGGAATGTAAAGAACAAGTTTGTACCTAGAAAAAGTCCAGTTGTGGTCGAGGTTGACCAGAAAATGTTTTGAAAGTGACCAAATGGCCACGGTTCTTGAGGGAAAAATGGCAGGTTCTCCTTCTTCTTGAGTTTTTGGGTAAAACCACACGTTCAAAACACAAACAAAGGATCAATAACAACCCGTAGAAGTGAAATGAAGGTTCTAAGGGTTTCTCAAGGCTTACCTAAGCCATGCATGGCCTGAAAATCGATATGTCCAACTCGCCGAGTCGACCTTCTGAGTTGGTGAGTCAAAACTCGTCCACACCAGATTTCAAGGACATGGTTGTGATCTTGGAACTGAGATGAGTATGATGATGTAGTTTGTTTGTTCAATCTACCAGCTTTGGAGCTCGCTCATGGAGTTGCAGAGGAAGAGAGAGTTCACGAGAGAGAGAGAAAGAAGAGAGAGAGGTTTTCAAATTTTCTTTGCTTTTTCTGATAGAGGGGGACAGAACATACATAAAAGATGGGATAGGTGAGACTGAATGATGAAGGAAGGGTGCACGGGTAGGATTTAAAAAGGAATCCAAGGATAGGTTTTTAAATTTCCTACAGTAAAAAGGAAATTGAAATCTATCCGAAGTAGATATTTTACACTTTAAAATTTATGAATACTCGTACTAGCGTGTACAATTTAAATGTGATAGTGAGAAATAAAAAGGAAAGCGATAAGAATAAGTCCACGTTACTTGCCGATAAGGGCATAATCGTCAATACACATACTCGGGGAGAAATTACATAGGAAAATTAGGGACGGGTTGTCACAGTTCTAATGCAAGCACGTCTTATGGAAAATTTGAAAAGTTTGCTAATGTAGAATCCAAGGAAGTTGACTTCCACTGGCCTCATGGCTGTTCCATCGTTGGGAGCTCCATAGATCAGCCATCCCCGTCAACTAATATAGGTAGTAATGCCTCACTGCCTGCTGAGAACTTAAGTCCCAAGCCTTATGCGAGTCAAAGTTCCAGCCCTTTGTTGCCGGTGATCTTAAAAAAGGACTCTGTAGCTCTAAGTGTTGATGTTGAGAAACGCATAAAAGTGGTAGAGGACATGATCACTCTGTCAAGGAATGATTGCCTGTGGCTATTTGCATTATGTGCAGCAGTTGATAATCCACTAGATGCTGATACCAGCCCTTCTCTTCGAAGTCTGCTAAGGAAGAGTGCTGCCTTGCGAGCTGCAAAGTCTGTACTTGATGATGAGGTAGTAATAATGTATTCTAGCCACGATTTCAGGTAAGCAGTTAGAAAACTGAAGCTTTGTATAATTTATTGGATTTCTCCTTGAAGAAAGGTTCAGATTTCACTTTGTTACTTTCCTCAACCTTTTTCAATCAATCATTTTATTTATTTTCTGTTGAATAACTTAAAATACACAGAGAATGTGCATATACACATATAGTATGCCCATGCTATGAAAAAGACATCAAAATTGGCACACGTGATAAAAGAATTAGTTATCATGTATATTCCCTTAAAAAGACTCGACAACTAGCTAGCATGCACACACACAACTGGCTAGCATGCACAATTTTCAAAAAAGACTTCACAACTAGCGATCATGCAGATAAACAACTGGCTAACTTCCACTCACACAAGCATCTACTTTGCGTAAGTTTTCATTTCATATAGGAGACATTTAAGGGAAGGGATCTCTATTTTTTTTTATAAAGATGGGGATTAGTTGTGAAGCCCCCACCACATCGAACTTTAACAATTTGAGCTATCTATTTTTCAAGTTGAAACTCATAGATCATCCTAACAAAATATTAGCCAAATCGGAAATATTTGAGGCATCTAATTGAGTTCAAAGAAACTGATGAACACTTTGTTCTAAGAAAAACATTTAAATTTCATCATGATAATTGAATAGGCAAATAATTTCGGATTGAATTGAATTTTTGTAAGGATGATCTATGAATCGAGACTTACAAAATAGACGATTTGGATCGTTGAAGTTCAATGTGGAGTGAGTCCCACAACTAATCTCCATTGTTTGAATAAAATGGGGATCCCTTTTCTTAAAGGGCATGTATGTGTGTGTGTATATTGGGGTGTGCTATCCACACACTCCATTTTACCTTATACACACCCTCTTAATCTGTGACCTTCGGATCGACTTAATTCAAGAAGATCAAAGGAAACATATACATGCCCTTTAAATTGCGAGCATGGAGAAGTGTTTCAAAATCTTTACCAACCTCACAAACTTCTCAAATACATTTTCACTCAAATTGGGCTAAATTTTAGGCAGCAGCGATGGAAGAAACAAATCTATGCCTACGATTGCACCATCATGTAGTATCTTGGTTGTGCATTAGGAATATGCATTCAATCTAGTTATTTTGTACCTTAAATTTGATGGATTTGTTTTGGCCCTCAAATTCTTGAGTGTTCTTTTAGTCTTCTCGACATGGTTTCTCACTATATTCGAGAAGACATGTTGACACATGATCTCCTTATTTTCATACTTATTCTTTGAGGAAGATCTAGTATGATGTAAAATTTTGAGGATGAAATTTCTATAAGGAGGGTACATTGTGACATCCTGTCCGAATTTAATATTATTTTATTCCCTAACCTTGGAAAATTACGATAATGCCCCTGAAAAACTAATTGAAAATCCTACATGGACATTTGAGTCCTTATCACTCTTTATCCCTTGCACTTCTTTCTAGGTAACACGTTTTCTTATGAACATGTGAGCGTGAAGGAGGTGTAAATCGAACAATTTATGCACATTTCTCAATGAGGAGCAAAATGGTAATTTTTCCTTCTTGGGAATCCATTACTTGTTTATCGAGACAATAGTGAGTTGTTGGTATTGCGGGTTGCAGATTGTACTATCAATGGCTTATTCGTTGGGTTCGTTAAGCAAGTGGGCAAGTAGACCCATTTTCGTAAGTATTTTATTAATTAGGTCTCGTGCCTAATTAGTTATTGTTTGGGCTTGTCCCAAAGACACACACACAATACTCTCGGAGCACTTGACGATATGAATGCATAGGCGTAAAACGAAATCAGAGTTACAACGAAGATTTTACGAAGCACAGAACGCCTAGGGTAATTGAGTAATTTCACATTGCAGGAGATATTTTTTTTTATCTTTTATGGCTTTGGGTTGTGTGCCAACTGGGGCCCACACGCCACTCCACCTCTCCCTCTTATCTCTACCGTGTCTCAACTTATCGAGCCTTCTCTCCTTTGTTGCCACCTCAATCCTCTATTCCTCTTTTCACTTTCTTATTCCTCTCTCATAAACTCTCCCTATTTAACTTTCTCTTTATCAAACTCTCTTCTTATCTGCAAACCGAGACCATCACTACCACCAACTCGCCACTCCGACGAGAATCACCACCACAAACCCAAAACATCACCTCGTCTCTTGGCCGTGAAACCAGAAACAAGCACGGACTCACGAACTCAAACCCAGACACGAAGCCTTGTGCGGCACAATAGCCACTACCACTGTTCACTGTCTCCTCTAGCGAAATCTATGTTTTTCCGACTAAAGTGAGGATTGGGAACCCTCAATTTCTCTCCCTTTTGTTGTTATGACTTAACTTCTGAGTATAAGTGTATGTCTTCATGATTGTTGGTACAGTGACAACTCACGGGAAGCTTTTCCATAGATTCTGGCAAAAGAATTGTGGCTTTCAAGCCACATCAAATCATTTTTTCAGCCGTCTCCAACAACTATTGGCCCTCGAACTAGTATAAATTGATTCTCTACATTCCTAACTCCACTTTGGCTTTTAAATCATGGATTTTGTATATACGAAAGGGTTAAATGCATTAAATTATATTGTTTTGTTTTGTAGGCATTGTCCTCCGGAGTTACATGAACAAGAGGTGGAAAACGAGCTTTTTAGGTGTCTAAGTAATTCCAGTGATGTACGGGGCTAATTAACTGCGCCAAGGTATATGCATTACTATAAGAAGATTAAACCACAACAGTTTTGGAACTCAAATGGACATAGGAATGCTATTCAATGGATTTTAGGAGAGAACTTAATTTCTAGCTTTTATTACTTTCATTTATTTTTCGTTTCTTTAATAAGGACATAAAGTCCATTAAGATTATGATTTTAGTGGGGTTTAGTTAGGATTTTCTTGCCCTTTCCGTGGGTTTTATAAGGAGATTCACTATCCTTGTTTGATAGAGAAAGCCACCAATAGCCACCAAAACATATCATATTGGCAGAGGTTGCGGCACAAGAAGGAAGAGTTTTTTTTTCCTTTGCTAGGGCAATGATGTAGTCTGATCATGAATACTTAATTGTCTTGTGGCATTGTTATTATCAATTTTATATTCCATATTGAGTATCTTTTGCTATTCGTAATGCGCTTGATTTTTATTTACATGCTTAATCACCATCTAAGTTTTAGTTAAGTTAACTTGATTCAAGTTAGAGTAGATGGCATACTTAACTTGAGTTTAGCTTCTTGCAATTGATACCATAAACACCTATTTGTAGATGCCATGCAATTAGGGTTTGTGTGATTTTCCAATGATTTCCATAGAGCTTAATGGGTTCTTACTTGTTTAAATTCATCTAGATACTATAGAAGGTTAACATGTAAGGATACTTTTGGTGCAACCAAATGCCATGGCTACTGAATAATTTAGAAAAAATCGATCATCAATATTGGAGAACTACTTGAGCATAACATATTAAGGGAGTTAAGTAGAACTGGTTATAGTGAATTCAGATGCCCTATGCTTTATTTTCTCATGTTTCAATTTATAATTTATATGCATTTTATTTCAGTTTAATTCAAAATATCACATCTTTTCCATTAAAGTTTCTCCACTATAATTTGTTTCATTTTAGTTGGTAAGAATTTTTAGAATCAATTTGATCTCTGTGGGACAATATCCAAACTTATATGTTGTACGACAATTAAGATTTTGAAGCATTTTTATACGAACTTTGAAAATATACAAAATGTCAATTTTAATTGTGAAATTGTTAAAAATTCTTCATTTTTGAAACCAACTAAATTGAAACATACTGTTACAATTTTATTGAAATTCTTTCAAATATTCTAAAATCATTACAACGATTTTGTTACAATTTATTGGAGTCATTTCGTATGTATCATGTACCATACCCCTGTCTTTTTTTTTTAACAAACGATATTATCTACACAAAGAGGGAGAGGGTGGGTTTAGCTTCACAATGGGCCAGCAATAATGCGGTTGAAGTTCACTTTTGGCGAGAATCAAACCTAAGACCTCTCACTTCCAAGTGAGAAGGAATACTACCAGACCATAATACTTAGCGGCTATCCCGTACCCTTATTTAATTTCAATCAACTGCCATGACAACCGCCGCAAATTCCACCCAAAAAAGAACCCCTAAGTTTCCACTTTGCCATCATGCAATAGTGCAAGTGCAATACTAGGTTGTGAACCCCCACAGCCCACCAAAGGGTGAAGCACATTTTTTTTTTCCTATCAAATAAAACACACTGCTTGTGCAGTGTGCTGGGGGGCCATGGCTACCACCGGTTTCATAATAGCGTAACTTGTAAGAAGAACTGTATGGCATTTGCTTTCTCCTATCCTCTTCTGTTGACAAGCAGCAAGCTCTCTTGCCACAAGAACCCTATCTCCTTTCCTCTCACTCCTCGCTTAAGTTCTTCAGTGGTAGGTTCCAACAGCACCAAGGGATAATATTAACATAGAAAAGGAAAATTGCAGAGGAAAAGATAAAGTTGTTTTTCATTCATCTCTTCAAAAGGGAACAATGGGATTGTATACCCATATCAGCCACTGCAGACAAAAGGGTTAGGTAACACTGGTGCTGAGTCACCAAATTTCTACTACTCCACTACTAGATAAAGGAATTAAACAAATGAAATAGGTTGAGGTCTGGTAGGATCCTAACAGGGCATGCTTCTGAGAACAACCATGTCCTCAGGCAACAAGGTCGGGGAAACGGCTCAAGATTGAGTCAGCATCTTCCCAAGTGGCGTCATGTTCCAGCAGACCTTGCCATTTGATTAACCAGCGAGTGACGACTTTGTTAACCTGTTTGAACATGTTGTGCTCCAGGATCAATTTTGGGAACCACATAAAAGAGCCATCCATAGAGACAAGGGGAAGCGTTGTTGAGGCAACTGTATATGCACCGAGTTTAGGCTTGAGCAGGGACATGTGAAAGGTTGGATGAATGCGGGACTGAGGGGGGAGGTCCAAGGTGTAGACAACCTATCCGACTAGGGCTAACACCTGGAAGGGTCCGTAATAGCGAGGAGCCAGAGGAAGACCCAAGCACCAACATTAAAAGTCTGCTTCGACAGATGTTTGTTTGCTTGTTGACTCATCCGATGTTGTGACATCAACCAGGTGGACCAAAGAGGAACCTGAAAGGTAGGATGACACTATCGGTGAAGAGTAACCATAGATTCCCTGGAAGGGCGTCATCTTGATCGTTGATTGAAAGGTAGTATTATACCACCTTTTTGCCCACGAAAGCCATCGAATCCAAGTACTCGATTTGTCCATGACAAAGCTTCTTAGATAGTGCTCCAATGTTCGGTTGAGGGCGATAAGATGCTGATGCGTAAAATAAGTTAACACACAAAATTAAACCCTCTTTTTATCAATTGTAGTAAAGTATGTAAGTAGGGATCGTTCTAGGCCGGGGATTAGGAGGGATTGCTAAATCACTTGGAAACTGACTTGAAAACGTAAAAACAAAGTTTAAAACACTAACTAGACTCAAAGAATGCAAAACTATACTTTAAAACACTAAAACAAACCAAAAGACTCAAAACAGCCCCTAAACACTCAAAACTACCTTAAAAACACAATCTGGGCAATTTTGGGACTCTCACACAAACTTGGACAAATTTTGGTTTTCTAATGAACTAAAACACTTAAAAACATAATCTAAGACAAGTTCTAATTAATATGACTCAAAGAAATAAGATGGGGTTGATTTTCGACGAAAATAATTAAATTAAGACAAGAACAAAGTAAACAAATTCTTAGACAAATTTAAGTGAATCAAAACAGATTGTAAAATGAATTTGAATGAAACTTATGGATGGAAGGCTAGCTAGGAGGTTCTTCTCCACACATGTCACACTTGCATACAAAACGATTTCCAGTTGCTTTTTGATAAACTATGAATACTCAACGCCCCAAATTAACCGTGAATTGCACTAATTAACCCTCAGTTTTTCCACAAGTTATTAGGTTGGATGATCGCATACGACAACCCAAAACATTCCCTACAAGTTCCCTACATGAATTGCATAATAGAGATACAAGCAAGAATCATTAAGTTCTATGAAAAACATAAGCATTGACGAGGCACTCGTTACTATGATTTGCATGAAACTTATGCCAAGAATTTACTTAACGTGATTGTGACTAGCAACCTTCACTACTTGTGAATATAAGTTCATAACGATTAGGTGAAACTCCCTTATATTCTAGCATCAAATTCATGCATGAAAATTAAGCGTGCACTCTCAACCAACATACACAAATCAGTTTTTATATGAACGGATAAGTAAATTGAATTCACAACTTATGAATCGCAACTGGATGTAATCAAATCATATTGCAAGTATGAACATAGTTTCGAATCACCCCCTAACTAAGAGGGGTTTAGTTCCTCATACTCACAAAGCAAAGATACATAAAATTAGACATTAAAATCAAAGGAAAGAAAACACCTAAAATGCTCCAACTTGGTAGCAAGTGCATCCAAAATTCCTCCTTTCCCTTGCTTGCGGCAGATTGGGTTATGGACAGATTTTGGGTAGTTTTATGATGTAGAATGGATGGGGAATGGTATGGAAGGGTTTAGGGTGAGTGTGGAGGAGTGTTTGATGGTTGGAGGGTGGTGGAGAACTAGGCAAAGAGGGTGGAAGAAGGTGGAGTGGCTGTTATGTTTTCTAGGCACTAGAAATGGTGTTTTTGGGGTGTTTTGCTTCCTAGGGTGTGTATGGACGAATTTTTGTGATAAAATGATGAATATGGGGGATTGTCCTTTGGCCAAGGGGTGTAAACATGTATTTATAGGCCCCCAAAAACCTTAGAAAATCAGGTTAGGTTAAGGATGAAATGCATGGCAATTTATGTGTGTGGTGTGCAATGGTCTAAGGGTGAAAATGAAGTAATGATGCAAAGTGTGAAGGGTAAAATGGAGTGGTGTTGTAGCTAGGGAGCATGAATGATTGTGTACATTGCATAGAGATGGAAAGGGAGGTGAAATGTGTCAACAAATGGGTCAAAGGTGCAACAACATGTGTTGCACATGGCATTGGATTCCAAATGTGAATGATGGAGCATCAATTGGTGCATGTAATGGATGTAAATGTTGTCTAAAATCTAATGAGTGAAGGGAACAAGAGGTATCAAGCAATTGAGTGTAATAATTAAATGAATTGAAGCATGAAATTAGAAATTATGTAGGGGACAAGAGTGATCAAGCATGGCATGGAATCCAAAGGGAATTCTATGTGGTTTGCATGGCAAGGAATGCAAGTTGGGGTAACAGATTTTTGGGCTGTTTTCTTCATCTTTTGGACCATAATTCTTCATATTCTTGGCCTCTTTAGTTCTCAAATTCGTCCATCCACTTGGCCCATGCATTTGCTATCCATTCCAAGCCCGAAACATGCTCCAAAGGCCTCCAAAATGCATCTTCTTGCATACTTTGTACTTAAAATCTGAAAACACACGAAAATGACTTTAAACATTAAAATAACTAAGGAAACACGACATAAATGCACAAGAACAAGCCAACTAAGTCGCATAAATATGCTCCTATCAGATGCTCCGGTTGTTCAACCACGGCAGGTAGAGGTGGAATGGGGTCATCGGGTTCCAGGACAGGATCTGGGCCTTTTTCATCCACCAATAACATGAGGAAATGGGACTGCCTGTATCTGTGGTTCGGGCGATATTGTTTGTCATAGTTGAAATAGAGGCTTTGCTCACGACAGACGCGCATTTCAGATTGGGTGAGTTGTAGTATTGGCTTAGTTGGTGGGGGGTTAGGTGTGGTGGAAGGAGGTTGAGATATAATTGGTGGGGTAGATGGGTTAGGTAGGGAGGGGGAGTATGGTTTACAGATGTAGAGTGATGAACATGGAATCCTGGAACAAGCCACCAGTTGACGCCCTTGTTTGCGCTCGTAGATTCGTGCAAGTTTAATGGCCCGTGCGAAGGAGGACAGTCCCTAAGTGACCACATCATCATGTAACTCGTCCTTGAAACCCCCTAAGAATGCATCCAAGAGTTAAGCATTTGTCCAATCCGGGGTGCCGCACGAGAGGCGGATGAACTGG